AAGCTAACAGGGAATCTTTTACTGTACCAATAAAAGTTTCCCTGCAACTCGATCCGTCTTCTCGAATCGCTCTCTGGGCTCCCGGTACAGGCGACCCTCTAAATTGGTGACCCCGACTCCGGAACAATCTCAGCGCCGGATATTTCGAACTTTTCTCCGGTGAGCTCGTTCCATTTATTTTTCATATTTTCCGGTTTATTTTTGCATACGGTAGCCTATTTTTGCGTCATTTTTTAAGCCATGGATTCTGTAGACCATAAGGTAGAGTCTCTGCTTAGCGTTGTATCTCTCTCTGTTCCACCTTTTTGGGACATGGATCCTCTTTTGTGGTTCGCTCATCTTGAGGCTGAGTTTTACAACCACAGAATCACTTCCGACTACGCGAAGTATTGCAAGCTCCTGTCCTATCTCCCCAAGGAGATATCAATGCAGGTTCGTGACGTTATCATTTCTCAGACCGAAAACCGCTATGAGGCTCTCAAGGAGGCCACGATTAAGCGTGTTATGCCCTCTGAGAAAGTTCGCCTGCAGCAGCTTTTCAGGGATCTGCAGCTGGGCGACAAACTGCCCTCAACCCTGCTACGAGAGATGCAGCAACTCCTTGGTTCCTCAACCATGGACGAGACTTTACTTCGCGAACTATGGCTACAACGGCTACCGGAAAACACGCAAGCGATTCTCGCTACAGTGAGCTCCGTTTCGCTCACTCAACTAGCAGATTTAGCGGATCGAGTTATTGAACGATCACAGCCACAAGCCGACGCCAGCAAGATCAATGCCGTCGCGTCCCAGGGCACTTCTATCACTGGCTTACAGTCAACTATAGAAGCCCTGCAAACACAAGTTGCGACACTTAGTCGCCAGGTTCAACAGCTTACTATGAACCGTCGTCGTCATAGCCGCTCAAAATCGCCCTGCAAACGTTCTAAGTCTAGCAACAGGCAGGCTAGCTGTTGGTACCATCAGCGTTTTGGTACCGCAGCTCGTAAATGTGTCAAGCCTTGCAACTTCGCCGAGAAGCAGGGAAACTTCTCGGCCGGTCCGTAACGGCGACGGACGCGACCGGCCAACACCAAAGTCGCCTCATCCGCGTTAGGGATTTAACTTCCGGCACCGAGTTTCTAGTCGACACTGGTGCCGAAGTTAGCGTTATACCCCGTAGCCCAGATGAGGTCGTCTCACCATCGCCGACCAAGCTGCGTGCCGCCAATGGCACACCAATCGCAACTTTCGGCGAAAAGCTGCTAACGCTCAATTTAGGCCTCCGGCGAACCTTTCGCTGGCCTTTCATAATCGCTGCCGTGCCTTTCGCCATCATAGGCATAGACTTTCTTCAACGCTTCGACCTCATCGTCGACGCTAAAAGGAAGAAGCTTATCGACTCTAGGACACAGCTCAGTGTTATCGGGACTAGCGCCAACGTGGCTGCTATCACTCCCATTCGTGTCCTACCTCAAGCTTCACAACCTTTTCTAGAACTTTTCAACAAGCATCCTAAACTCGTTCGCGTCCTGAACGACTTGCCTCCTGTGACGTCAAACGTCATGCATCACATTTGCACTAAGGGCCCACCTGTTTCGGCCCGCCCTCGCCGACTAGCCCCGGACAAGCTCAAAGCTGCTAAGGCGGAATTCGAGCAAATGCTCGAACTGGGAATCATCCGCCCGTCCAAAAGTCCATGGGCATCACCATTACACATGGTACCGAAGAAATCCGGTGACTGGCGCCCCTGTGGTGACTACAGGGCACTTAACAAAGTTACCGTCCCGGATAAATACCCCATTCCGCACATGCACGACTTGACCTCAGCTCTAGCTGGCAAGTCTATCTTTAGCAAAGTCGACTTAGTTCGCGCCTACCATCAGATACCTGTGGCGCCAGACGACATTGCTAAAACAGCAGTCATCACGCCATTCGGCCTATTCGAGTACCTCAGAATGCCTTTCGGCCTCAGCAACGCTGCCCAAACTTTTCAGCGTTTCATTCATGAGGTAACGCGAGGACTCGAAGGCGTTTATCCTTATCTAGATGACATTCTCATCGCCAGCTCTTCTGACGAGGAACATCTTCATCACCTCGACGCTCTCTTCCAACGCTTAACACAGCATGGGGTTACCGTCAACCCCGATAAATGCGAGCTTGGCCAAAGTTCCATCGACTTTCTTGGCCACCGCATATCCGCCTCTGGTATTGAAGCTCTGCCAGACAAAATCCAGGCACTGAAGGACTATCCTGCTCCCAGTTCCTTCAAACAGTTACGCCGATTCCTTGGCCTGGTCAACTATTATAGACGCTTTATTCCTAACTGCGCGAGCATTGTTCAACCAATGACTGACTTGCTCCGCGGTAAACAACGGTCTTTTCATTTTACAGACGACGCTAGACTGTCTTTCGAGAAGCTCAAAGACGCTATCTCCAACATAGCGCTTCTCGCCCATCCAGACACATCTGCACCACTCTCCCTGACAACTGACGCATCCGACACTGCCGTCGGTGCAGTTCTTCAACAACTCATCGACCATCGATGGATACCTCTAGGTTTCTTCTCGAAACGCTTACAACCTGCCGAATCGCGTTACAGCACCTTCGGTAGGGAACTGTTAGCTATCTACCTAGGTATCAGACATTTCCGTCACTATCTCGAAGGTCGACATTTTACAGTCTTCACTGACCACAAGCCATTGATCTACGCAATCAATGGCGCAACGGACAAGTATTCTCCGCGGGAAACTAGACACCTAGACTACGTTTCTCAGTTTACGACAGACGTACGACATGTCTCAGGTGCTCTCAATCCCGTCGCGGATGCCTGTTAGCAGGTCACAGCATGGTTTTCTAAGCGCACGATCCTGCGCAACCTGCCAGCTTGCTTTTCTCAACCTGGTCACTGGCGAGATTGATTCAGGTCTGGAGATTATTACGCTATACCTCCCAGTTCCTTCAAACAATTACGCCGATTCCTTGGCCTGGTTAACTATTATAAACATTTTATCCCTAACTGCGCGAGCATTGTTCAACCAATGACTGACTTGCTCCGCGGTGAACAACCGTCTTTTCACTTTACAGACGACGCTAGATTGTCTTTCGAGAAGCTCAAAGACGCCATCTCCAACCTAGCGCTTCTCGCCCATCTAGATACATCTGCACCACTCTCCCTGACGATTGACGCATCCGAAACTGCCATCGGTGCCGTTCTTCAGCAAAGCATCGACCATCGATGTGTACCTCTAGGTTTCTTCTCGAAACGTTTACAACCTGCCGAATCGCGTTACAGCACCTTCGGTATGGAACTGTTAGCTATCTACCTAGGTATCCGACATTTCCGTCATTATCTCAAAGGTCGAAGTTTTACAGGCTTCACCGACCACAAGCCATTGGTCTACGCAATCAATGGCGCAACAGACAAGTATTCTCCGCGAGAAACTAGACACCTAGACTACGTTTCTTAGTTTACCACAGACGTACGACATGTCTCAGGTGTTCTCAATGCCGTCGCAGATGCGCTTTCACGTATTCAGCAGATCAGCTTATCGCCTGGCACCAACATTGACCTAGCCACTATGGCTGCTGCCAAACCAGCTGATCCCGACATAGGCAAGCTACGACGCAACACCACTGAGACGATCACCACTGATCGACTCAAGCCAGCATTTCTCGACAACTCTGACTCTCCGGTGCAATAAGCACATGCACTGCCTGTGACATCACAGCTCGCAGCGCATCCTCAGACGAGTCAGCCTGCTCCAGCAGAACCGACAACCTCAACCGACAGCACGCCTACTCGCCCTACTATCAATCGACGCGTAGGAAGGTCAAGCCCCCAGTTCGTTTTTCGGATTGCGTTAGCATTTACTATTTTACCTAGAAAGTGCCTTCGAAATTTTCTGCTCTTACTAAACGTTTTTGAAAATCAACAAAACAAGATCAAAACGTTTTGAAATTACCAAAAATGAGTAAAACCTTTTGAAAACCCACAAACAGCTTTGCACGTTTTTCGCTTTGCACTTTGGTGTATTGCTTTGCATTTATGCTGCTTTTTCATTTTGCTTTCCATATACACCGTCGGTTGGTTGCACCTTGGTCGCACTATTCGCTGGATCTCCGCACGTCAACTGGAAGTGGAAAACCTTCCGGCTCAACCGCATGCGTGAACTTTACTAACTGTCCCCACAAACTTTTTTCCCGTTTCGACACCGTAGGGAGGACACGGGTGTGAGCCCGCTAGGGTCCGATTGCATGATTCTCCCCCAGCAGCTGCATCAGATTCGACAACCTGGTCTCGCGGAAGGCTGGCCCGCCACGGACAGTCCTCACGTAGATCGAAGGACTGCTTACATAGTCCCTTCTGGGAGAGGGCTATGTAGCAGTCTGGAGATTCCCTGGTTTGCCTGCATAAAATTCTAACCAAAGTTCTGTAATGGTACACCTAGGCAACCGGTGTGGTTTGTTGAACTGCTTGCTGAGTTCGAATGCTTGGCTTGCTCATCACCATTTTTGATTGGCGCTCGTTTCGGTTGCAACTCGCAACTGCTCTGTGTGCTGTGTGTGCTCCATTCCCCTAGCTAGAGTATCCACGGTGTCGTTCTTTTATAGCTAGGTAACAGGGAAACTTTTACTGTACCAATAAAAGTTTCCCTGAAACTCGATTCGCCTTCTCGAATCGCTCTCTGGGGTCCCGGTACAGGCAACCTTCTAAAACCGTCGTATAGGTGCCCTATATGCACCTCCAATGGCGCCCTTGTGTTTAGGTACACTCACACTGCGAACGAGTTTCTGGCGCTGGGCGACATCAAGCTCCTAATTGTTTGTTGGGATAACGCAGCTTGCTGTTTGGCGTTTGGTTCGTTCGATGCAGAACTGCTGGACTTAACGCTGCAGATACCACTACACCAGTTCGTGGACCTCCCCGCTAGATATATGAGAAATCAGCACCTGTCCAATTTAGGTCCTGGTTTTGCTGTCATGGCTCTAGAAATAATATTACCTGCGACTCGTCGCTTAGCACCAACGAGCACGTTTGTTTGTCTTTTATTATACCCTAAAGATAAATAAGTAAATAAATAAATATTTCATTTCTTAACAAAGCGAGACACGCCTTTTGGTCATGATCAGCATGTTGCATTATTGTACCTAATAGCAGAATAAGCAGCACCAACAGTGGCAGTAGTACAGTTTGGGACAGTAGAGTGTGCCCATAGGGACCAAAGGTTGTATGAAGTCTATGTACACCGAATGACGGAGGTAGAGATAGTAACCAGATCACTTATATGGTATGTTTATGAGGAACTAGTCCGATGAGGTCCCGTAAGCAATGTAGGTCAGTGAGTGAAGTATGAGGAAACGGGTGAAAAATACTTAAGAATAGTGGCATGTCACTAATCAGATATGTAAGCTTGTTCGTGCGAGAGCAGATATATGCACATAACTTGAAAATACGGTGTCGGTCAACCCGCCAATGTGTTAGGGGCGGTGACTTTATTGAGTGACGGGTCACATCCGCCACGTCTCAGTGTTGTTAAACAGATATTTGTGGCTTTTTGTAGGGAAAACACTTGCCAGACGATGACCCACCACGTCCTGGAACACTGCCGGCTGGTAATGCAACATTGGCAAGGTTGTATCTGACCAATTACCCTCGCGGATATTTGCAGTCAAGTTCCGCCAATTTGTTTCCCATGGCTGTGTAGTCGTCTTCGGAGTCCAGTGCAAGTGGTTGGAGCTGTTGAAGTCGGATGACTCAGGTGAATTGTACTGAATTGATCAATTTTCTAGGTTCTTTGGTGTGCCATGTTTATGAAGTGCGGGTTTTTTTTCGTTATTGAATCCGTGCCCCTTGCATAGCTACTACGAGTTGGTATCCGAACATATGAGCCGCGGACTTCCTAGCGATGTGGGATACAACTAGGTCATCGCCTTATGTAATATGTGAGACCAACACTGTTCACTTGGCTTGGGCAAAATTACGGCTCATCGGGTCAACATTCCTGCACCTCACATCACCCTGGTAAAAAAGCGAACCGGAAGCGCAGCCTCGGTTGATAGATTACGCGGGGAATAGCCCGCCAAGGAATAGGCCTAGATGCTGGCGAGCTTATCGAACAGCTGCGTCGAACAGCACCATTGACAGGTATTGGTGCGTTCGAAATGAGTGCAAGCTACAACTTTGCTTGGACCAGCTTTAGTATGAAAAGACCATTATCCGAGGTCTGGAACTTGGGGATCTGGGATCCTAACGTGAAAGAGCTTGTGCCTGAGACAGGACATAGAAACCCCCAAGGACCTACATAGAACACGGCTGTAAAACAAGTGGATAAAAATGCACTC